GTGGTGGTGGAGGCAGTGGTAGAGATGGTAGCAATGGCAGTAGTGGTGGTGGTGGTGATGGAGGTGGGCTTCTTGGTGGTGGAGGCAGTGGTGGTGGTGCAATGATCCAGGCAGTCTCTCCGCATTTGGCACGAGTGAGACTGACGCAGGGCCAGAGGCGTACTGGCTCGGCTGGCTGGTATCCTGACTCACTTGTCCTGGGAGTCTTTAGGGAAATGGCTCTCACCACCAACCTCCCTTTCCACTCTACACCTTCTGTCAGGTCAGTGTGCCCCTGTGCCGACATCTCTCTCCCCAACCCCTCCATCTCCCACCCAGCATGCCTCTCGGTCTGGCAGCTCCCTCTGGCATGCACAGCACGGCTGGCAGTGAGTGTGTTTGCTTCCTCAGCCCTGGTCAGCACCAGGGGCTCTAGGGAATGCCCAGGCGGAGCAGGCCAGCCGCCCTCCAGCCTGACTGCAGGAGCCGTGGGGCACATTCTGAGCCCGCCACTCTCCAAGTAGACTGGGGCAGTTCCACGCGTAGGCAGCCTGCTGTTTGGAGAGTCCCTGACCCACTGGCTCCCAACTGCTGGAGGAGAAAGGGGATGATGTCAACAGTGACTGAGGAGCAAAGCAGCTAGAGGGGCCGGGCCTGTTTCCCACAGCACTGCCTGAAGCCCGGCTCCCCCCTGCGGAAGGAGAGCCTCCTGGCCTCCCACTGGCCCCTAGAATCGCTCTTCCTCTGTTTGACTTCTAAGACAGCAGGAGGGTTAGCAGACTTGGAGCTGGAACAAAACAGAGGGAAGACAGGCGTCCAGGGGAGCAACCTATTTTTGAAAAATGAGCTGATGCCAAGAGATTAAGTTCTGTTTGTCTTGGCTGCTGGGCTTATATAAAAACAAAACAGCATCGCAGTCATGCACACACCTACATCCACAGGTGCACACAGACACGTATGCCTGCACACACACATACAAGCACATACACGCAGTGCTCTTGCTGTTTGGTTGGGATCGGGAGGCCGCAAAGCCTCTTGGCTTTGTTCAGCCCACCCCCTGCAGCCAGGAGCTCAGCTCTGTGCACTGCAAGCCCCCACCAGCAGGAAGTCCAACACAGACACTGCACGAGAGGCACTCTTGGTTCCTAAGCTGACCTCAGATTCCTGGGCCTTTGGGTAATATTCCACAGCTGGGAACAGAGGCCACTGACTCATCAGAGAATGCTGGGTCTCATGGGGAGTGACAGGAGACAGCCAGACCCGCCAGGCTCTCTCAGCAGATGCAGGGGTCCCGAGTAAAGTCTGGGAGCCCGTGGGAGACCATTCTCCCTGCTCAGGCATAAAGAATGGGCTGACACTGCGGTTTCTGAAAATGCGCTCTCCCCGTCGGTCTGTGTGCAGAACCGCGAGAGCGGTTTACTCAGTTCTAGGGCTGTGCTCAGAGCCCTGGTGGTGTAGTGGGTTACAAGTTGGACTGCTAACTGCGAGGTTGGCAATTCAAAACCACTAGTCGCTCCCTAAGAGAACTATGTGGCTTTCTGCTGCCTTGGCCTCCACCCAACCTGCACCCTTCAAGGGGCAGGGGGCTTTGGCGTGGATGGCATCTGACAAGTGGCAGCTTGGGAGCAGGCGGAGCCCCGCAGAGCACACTCCTCGAGGGCAGGTCCTAAGCGTGTGGCTTGCACAGGCTGCCTGGGTGGGCCAGCCAATGACCGATGTGCCAGATAACAGCAGCAGCAGCAGCAGCAGGCCTGTCATGAGGCACTCCGCAATGCCACCACGCCTGCCTGGCTGCTGATCTCTTCACTTACCTGTTCACATGGCCTCCCACTCGAGATCTGGCACTTTCCACAGACGGTATGGCCGCTCTGCGGGCAAGGCTGCGGCCTCCTCTATAAAAGCCAGGGCCTTCTGAGGCAGGGCACGGCCTCTAGCTCCAGCCTGGGCTGTGCTGGGCAGTAGGCCTGATCTTTAGGCTGTGGGGCAGGACTGCAGGCCTTCCAGCTCCTGGACCCCTTTCTGCCAGTGTCCCAGATGGGGCAAAGGCCACAGGGCAAGGAGACCGTGATATGAGCAAGCCCCCAGTGAGGAAATCTTCAGCACTTGGGAAATGAAAAGGAGCCTCAAGTTTCATCTCGGTCTTGAGAATGTTGTGGGTTAACGGGTGGCTAACAGGGCTGTTGCCTCAATTAGAGGCGTAAGAAGTCTTGCTGCAAAAGGTTTATGACGCAGCATTGCGGGAACAAGGCAACGCCGTACAAAACTATACACGCGGCAGGTTCTCAAGCACGCTGAAAATACACACAGGCAAAGAGTCCCAGAGAAAGCAGTAAATCACAAGGTGGGCAGTGGCTGCTGACGCTGTTGGAGGTGAAGAGCATGACTCTCTTCTCGGCACTTGCCTTTTCTTGTGATAGACCTGCCATCTATAATTTGCATTTTATAATCAGGAAAAGGAAACTACGACAGAGGCCCCAGCTGGGGGATGTACGTAACTTACGGGCACTGGTCTGACTGGAGGAACAGACCCTGGTGGCACCGTGAGTAAAGTATTGGGTTGCTAACTGAAAGGTGAGTGGTTTGAACCCACTGATCGCTTCACAGGAGGAAAATGAGGCGGTCTGCTGCCAGAAAGCTTCACGGCCTGGGAAGCTCAGTGACAACAGTGTGCTGCCCGTCTCACGACCACTGCCCCAAGGTGGGGCCTGACCCACACGTGCAGGAGAGTACAGTGTCCCCTGCAGGTCCCCAAGGTGAGGTCCTCCTCACCTGAAGCAATTCCAGATCAGAGGAGTCCTCCTGCCCCGGGACCATTTCTGTTAGCATCTCCGACATGACTTTTGTGTTTCCTCGGACCACGTCTAGTTCGCTCCGCAGCCTGGCAATCTGTTGGGGACGGGAGGGAGGGAGAGGGGGAGGCAGGAAGAGGAGAGGTCAGCCAACCGTTGCCTGAGCTACCTGAGCACAGTGGCCCCTGTTTGTGGTGACATCTAGACCACACTTCTGCACGGCCCCAGGGGAAGCCTTCCCGCCACACTGCAAGCCCGTGCCCAAGCGTGGCTGTGCCGAGGGAGGCACGGGCAGGGAACCCTCTCCCCAGAGAAGGCTGGTCCCCAGAAGCCTGTGGCCCTGACGGCTGGCCCAGGACACTGAGGCAGTAGCTCTTCATTGTGGTGAGTACTGGGCCAGGGGGAACAGAACCGGTTTTCTGCCCTGGCTCCCCCACGGCTCTAATTTACTCCTCAGTTCTCCATTCCTGCTGCTTAAGACAGAAGTGCTGATGACGTGCATGGTCTCTGAGTAGACCCCGGACCGAGATCCTATCTCATGAGCCCTCGTTGTACTCTTGGACCTTAGGAGTTTATACTGTTATAGTCCTCTGAGAGGCTTGTAATGACCCACTGCCCACTGAGTAAACATTTACTGAAGTCTCCTATACTGAGTACAGGGTAGCTCTATGAACCTCACTTTTCTGGTATGGTAAGAACATGGACAGGGCAGTGAGGGAACACTACCAGGGAGACATGCTCCCCCCGCCCCAGGCTCTCTACTGGTATCACAGTCCCTTGGAAAGTTATCCAATCTGCTTACCTAAGAAGCCTGGCTCTGTGCCCAGGCCCGAGCCTTCTCTTCTGCCCGAGGGACATCCCGAGCTGCTCTCAGTTCTGCATTGTGCTCAGCTCTGGCCCTGCACCCTTGCCCACCATGGGCTCTGTGCAAGAATCGGGCCCCACAGACAGGGTCCCTCAGGAGTGGCCACGGGGAGGAGCTCCAGGACGCTCCAGGAGCACTGGTTCAATGGTAGCAGTGACAACATAAGTGGACCTCCGTGTCCTCTTGCAGAAAGATGGTGATAATACCTGAACCTGGCAGCGCTGCGGTAATGACCTAAGGTTCAGGTGAGTACATGCCGGGGCAGTGCCTGACACACGTGCTCCAAAACCCTCACTGCCATCCAGTCAATGCCAACTCACAGTGACCCACAGGACATTGTAGAACTGCTCTATAGGGCTTCTGAGACTAAAGCTTTATGGGTGTAGAAAGCCTCATCTTTCTCCCCCAAAGGGGCGGGTGGTTTCAAACTGCTGACCTTGTGATTCACAGCCCAACTTGTATCCCACTATACTACCGGGTTCACTACTGAACTAACACCAGGAGGGTCTGCTAACTCCTTCTCCTGCAGAAATGCCAAGAGGCTGGGGCAGAGCCCACCTCTTCCTGACTGTGGACTCTTGCCCAGACATCACCCACCGGTTCAGGAAGCCTTTCCTGACTGCCCTGGCCCAGCCTGCATTGACGGACCACTCCCCTGTCATCCTCCTCGGACCCCACGCCCTGCCCAGCCGGCTCTCTGGAAGGGACAAGCACAGGAGACCACAAGAAATGTTTGCTGCTTGACCACATGGTTTCTGCCTTGAGCGCCCCCTGGTGGGTGGTTCACAGTGCCCTCTGAAGTCGTAGCGGAGAAGATGCTCTGGCTGGGAGTGTGGTGGTCCTCACCTGTCACTGCATCTATCTTTCCCTCAGGGGTTGCCCTGCACTCCCACCCTCCTACCCATCCAGGCCCCCACGCTCGCTATCCAGCTGCCGAGAAGGCTTCCCCAAAGCACGAACGGTGCTGGCAGCAAGGTGGGAAAAAGGCTCCATCACTGTCCAGTTTTCCAGGATGCTCTGTCCTCCCTGAGTGGAAGCAGGCACCGTTCTGTCCACAGGGGCAGGGCCTGTCATCAGAGACTGGCCTCCTAAGGGCCTCTTTGTAGGGAAGGTCCTGGCCATTCTTGGTCTTGAGGAAGCCCCTGACCAGGGTGAGCCCAGACGTGGGCCTTGCTGCTTGCTCCTCCGTGCACACAGCAGTTTGTGGGCGACTCACAAGAGGCCGCTGCTGTTGCCTGTGGAGCTCATGACTGCCCTCAGAGAAGAGGGCCCTCACTGTTCGGTTGATGAGGAGTCTGAGGTCGCATGACCCGAGCCCAGCCTCTGGGGCAGTCTCCAGCACAGTCAGGACACAAGCCCAGGCCTGCCTGACCCGTCCTCTCTCTCTCCCCCTCACCACCTGGTAGGGAGCTTCACTGTGTGGCCTGACACGGAATGTCTCCCTTCAGTAGACACAATTGTTTGGGACCCTTGTTTAACTGAGGTTCTAGAATAAAGAAGGCATCATCACAAATATTAAAGAAGGATTTTGAAAATATGGATGCTTGGTAGATTTTTCCCCCCTCCCAAGTCTGACAAATTCCCAAATACTAACTAATGGAGAGTTTACTGGTTCATCTAAAAGCCAGCGGAGAGAAATCCAGATTGGGGTTAAAACCGTAGTGGCTCATCAGGAAAGGATGCAGGAGACGTGGCCGGGATCCGGGAGAAAGGCGTCTCCACTCCAACGAGTTTGCTGAGTGTGTCACTTGCCGCTTTAAGAGGCCTCTGGTGGCTCTCAATTCTCACAGGACAGACATACAGGGCCGGCCACAACTCGGCCTGCCCCCAGGCTTTTGGCTGCAGCCTCTCCCTCGCAGAGGCCCCTGCGCATGCTCCTCTGTGCCTCTGCACTTCCTGGAGCCACTTCGCCTGACAGCCCTACTCCTGCTTTAAGACCCTCATCAGCACCAGCGCCCCGGGCCCATTGCGCTCCCAGACGCTGCTGGACTCTGCTTCCCAGCAGGCAGGCAGGGAGCTCTGCATCTGCTCCCCATGCTCCTCGGAGCCCTTGAGGGAAGGGGCTGGCCCTTTCATCTTTGTGTCCCTAACACCTAGGGAGGCCTCTGTGATCTCCTGGAAGGATGGCAGAGGCCAGCCGCTGCCTTGCTGGAGACCAGGGAGTGTGCAAATACCTGTTCTGAGTTGGCTGTGATGGGGCCAGTCACGCTCAGTGGTGGGGCCTGCGGAGCGGAGGAAGGAGCAGGAGGCGAGGAGTAGGGGCCAGCAGTCGTCCTTGGCTGGGACTGGGGCTTGGGCATGGTGGCGGCTGGATCCACTTCAGGGATGCTCTGGTAGGGCACAAACAAAGTCCTCTGCTCACTTGAGCCTGTTCCACCCTGGGCAGCACCGCCCATCACCCCCACCCGAGGGAGGCGGAGCCCAGCTCGGCTGGGGCCTCACAAGGTTCAGCTGACTCCTGGGAGCCCGGTGTCCCTCTACTGAGTGAGTGGCACGCCACAGAGGCTGCCTCTGGTCTCCTCCAGTGAGCTGCTCATTGGGCAGAGGGAGACGCTGAGATGGTGGGGAACTCTGGAAGGAGGCTGCGGTCAGGTTTGGGGACCTGTGAGACGTCTAAGCTTCCATTCCGGCTTCCACAGGTAGGCTAGCAGGACCAGTGATTGTACAATACACCGCACGCCCTCTGTGAGGGCGGCCGCAACACCGGAGTCTGGGCTGTCATTCACAGACTACAGCAGGCTGTGCTTACTCCCCACAGCACAGTAAGCGGTTTGCAGGGCTCATCACGAGGGCAGCATTTGGGGAAGGACAATTCTCTGCATTTTCCCGTGGGCATCTCAGAGAGCCTCTTGGACAGGACTTACTTGGTCTCGCTAGCAGCCTGCGCATTCAACAGAGGGCACCAGTAAGGTGAGGCACCTTTCCATTTGCCTGAGTGTGTGCCTCTCACAGGCCCCCAGGGTTGGGCACCACCATCCTGGGGCGGGCCTTGCTGCAGGGCATGCATCCACTGTTGGGCAAAGGATGGCTCCTGCGTGGTGCGAGCACCCAGGCTGGCATTGGAATAGCCCAGCGGGATGCCCTAAGGGGGAGTCTCTCCAGAGCTTTGAAGCTCGTGATGCAAAAAATTCATGTTTCAAACGAAACTTTAGGTCCGCCTGACTGGCACAGCTGTCTGCGGCCAGTGACGCCAACCCCTCTGCGGCAGCCAACGTGTTCTGGTGCAACCAAGAGACAGATGACGGGGCCCTGCAAACTCCAGGGACCGCTGAAAAGCAGCTGCGAATGGGTCACACGGGCCAGCCCACCTGAAATGATTCCGCTGTTATCTTTTCCCTCAGTCAATGGGAGACCTGGAGGACACACTGCGGTCACTTCATCACCTGTCCCACCAGCTGCCTCGTGCTGCACCCCCCCCCCTATTGTTGGAAAGGGATGCCTCCGAATCTTAGGGACTCATGACGGCCCGCTGAATAATTCAAAGGGAGCAGCAGCAGGGTGGTGGCAGTGGGCTGGCCAGCTCTTCAATAGGTCTTTCTAGAACATGCCAGCTGGACACTTACCCGCTGTGGTGTGTGTATTGGAGACAGAGCGTCCAATTCTGCCATGGGAAACTCGACCCCTTTTCTCTTCAGCTCCTCGTATATGTGCACAACGCCCGTGAGGTCTGGGCTGCTCCGGAAGGCATCTGCCCAAGCCTGTGGGAGGGCCAAGGGGGCCTATGAGGAAGTGTCCATCCTGGGGACAAGCACTGCCCATCAGAGGCCAGGCTCTGTCCCCTGTGCTGGAAGGCACATCTGACCCTGCCTGTCCCCCCTCAAGCTGCCTTGAGGGGACCGGTCAGATCGCAGTTTTCCAGGTGCTATTTTAAGTGTGGACAAAACCAGAAGACTTAATGCAGCGTGTCATTTCCTGGGCGAGGCGGCAGAGAAGGAACATCTGAGCACACTGGCGCATGCTAAAATTCAGGCATTTCCCTGGTTGTAAGGAAAGGGGTAAGTCCCTGGTGCGGCCTAGCTGTGACAGGAACGGCAGTGCTGGGCTCAGGGAACCCCGGATTGGCAAGCGCTCATCACTGAACCTCCTCTACACTGTCGGTGCTGGCTGAGCACGGCCCGAGTCTGCAGGCCAGCTGAGCTAAACGGAGAACAGTTGACCTGTGTAATGAAACCAAGGCCGATGCTAGTCTTTCCTCGGTGGACCAGGAGAATGAACGTTAAGGCCGAGATTGCCAGGGCTGGACAGATCATCTATCTGAGGTGGAGGCGGGAGAGCTGACCCTGAGCTTCGTCCCCTAAGTCGTGCCGCTGAAACTCCAGTGGGAAGCATGCCGCTAGATTCCCATGTGTAAGAACATGAGAGAGGCGGAAACACAAATAAACTGCCACTTATTCTACTGGTCCACAAAACTAAAAAAAATTTTTGCAGGCATTCTGTATTTTAGAATTTACAGAAGATCTCAAAAAAGCAGGCTACTCTTCAGTAATGGGATGCCACCCTGCCCGTCCTACAGAGCCTGGGGGGATGCAGGCCTGAACCTGCTGATGCCACCTGCACTTAACCACGCCCTGCCCCTGTGGTGGGCGCAGCAGTCAATCTTAGGGCAGCCATGGACACCCTACCTCTAAAGGACAGGCCCAATTGAAGTTCAAAGGTCAGCTTCTCCAAAGGCTCCTTAATGGCCACAGGAGGATCTGTCTTCCTACCAGCCCAGCTTGTCTGGTCCACTTATTTACTCTGCATTATAAAGGGTCATGCCACCTCCACAGGACAGCGGGTCTTGGCTAGCACGCTCTCTCATTTGCAAAGGGCCCTCGGGGGCTCCAAGGCTCTGGACAACTCTGTCGGGCCCACCGGCTCTGTGGCTGGCTGGGCCCGGAGAGGCCTCACAGAGCCCAGCCTCCCTCTGCCCCCCCACTCCGGCTGCAGCCTGTGCCTGTGGCTTGGAGAGCGCCCACATTTTGGGTGGATGTTGGTTTCAGTCTCGAGCCCAGTTTCAGGGGCTGGGGTGGAACAAGAAGGATGGCTCCTCTGGGTGCCCTTTCATGTCTCTATTTCCCTGGGGAGCAAACGGCCCCAGGGCACCTCTAGGATGTCTCTTGCTTCCCCTCTAGCCAAACGTGAGCTAACAGGAATAAAGACTAAAGAACTATCCGCACGCTCTCTACAGGAGCACGCACGGGCGGCACCCGCCAAACCTGAGGTGCAGGGCCCTCTTACAGGGGCACGTCCTCACCATTCACAGAGGTGCCCAGGGCCATGTCAGCACCGAGGGAGAGTGTGTGCGTGAGGGTGCGTGCATCTGGGTTGGACCAATCAGGTTCTCTTCCTCGCTGAGTCAGCCCTGGGCCTCAGGGAGAGCTGGGCCCCTCTCTGGGGACGCAGAACTGTCCTCTACAATTCTGCTACGGTCCTGTCCTCCACAGTCTCCTGACCAGTTCTCGTCTTCGCCTAGGCGAGCCGGAGCTGGCATCTGTTATGTGCAACCAAGCAGTCTTGGCTCACCCGCCCCTTCCACCTGCCAGTTTCAGCTCCTGCACTGGGCACCTGCGCAGTCTGGGCAAGGTGGCCGCTCGACACCATACGCTCCCGACAGCATCCTCCACTGAGCAAGCTGCTGATGCCAACAGAGGGACGGGGCTGGGGGCTGAGGGGTAAGGGAACGGTCACACGTGAAAGTGCCTTCAGTTTCTTCTCGGAAAGCACCTAATCCCCAGGCGCCGTCTCCTTCCAAGTCTCCTCCGCCTCACACGCAGGAAACGAGCTCGTTCTCCTGGTCACTAAGCTTGCCTCTTCCCTGCTCCAGCGAGCAGAGGAGGGGCGGGCGCTCTGGCTGTCCACGGCCTGCAGAGATAAAGGAGGAGCCTGCCACAGGGCTGACCCCACTGCTGTATCTCAGGGGCCAGGCACAAGCCTCAGGGCGCCAGGGCCCACTCCCAGAACTTCTGCCCTTGAAGTCAGCAGCAGCAGCAGCGGCAATAGTGCCGGCACGCTGCCCTCCCTGAGGACTGCCTCCTCAGAACACGACTGACATGGCCGTGCCACCACACTGAAGGTCCTGTCACAGGAGCTGGCCAGCAGCTGGTCGGAGGGAGTGCCTCGTGGGGAGCCATGGCCATCAGAGAGCCAGCCCCTTCCTTCCCTGGGCTACAGCATAAAGGGTTTGAGAGGGAAGGACGACTAGCAGAGAGAGAGAGAGAGAGAGAGAGAGAGAGAGAGAGAGAGAAATGAACACTTTCCTTCTGTCATTACTCAGTTTACACACCAAATCCAAGCCTAAAACCTTAGAGATGTGCAAACCGCATTCTCTTCCTTTCTGTAACCCTCAAAGTTTTGACAAAGTTTTCTTCCATCCAATTTCAGACCAATGTGTAACTGCTGATTTAGATGATGGGTCCAACAATTTGCAGGCTTCTGCCGTGCTCCGTTTATGCTCCAGGACCAGGTTTCTGTACCTAGTGACACGGTCTCCGTCCAGCTTCTAGCCAGAGGCCTGCCACCCAGGTCTTCTCATCTTATTCCCACTGCCATCACACTGGTGCCCAGTCAGTGCGACCCTACAGGACAGGGTGGAACTGCCCTGTGCGTTTCCGAGGCTGTAACTCTTTATGGAGTAGAAAGCCCGGTCTTCCTCTCCCCACCCAAGCAGGTCTTGGACGCCTTCAAAGAACACAACACCTCCTGCTCCTCCTGCCCCACCCTCACTGCTCCAGCTCACTTTCTTGAGCGGAAAGAGAACTTTCCGTACAGAGAGTATTTTTAGACACTACTGCTGGGCACCAGAACAGGAGCAGGGAGACATGTCTACACTGTGGTCAGTCTGCTGAGATGATGTCATTTCTGTTCCTAAAACCGTCTCAAGGGACAAAAGGAGAGATGACATAAAGTGTGTGTGTGTGTGTGTGTGTGTGTGTGTGTGTGTGTAGTGGGGGGTGTTTCCTGGTCTTCTCAATAAGTAATGTTACCACAAGCAAACAATAAGTCTTTATTGTATACTAAAGGGCAGAAAACACCATCTCTGTGCCACAACACTGGCCAAAAGAACTGGATAGTGCCCAGATACCACTAATGAGCATTTTGATCAAAGAATTCATAAGAGAATCTAGATCAAAAGGGGGAAATTATAGAACAGAACGTCAAACTCTCCTGGATTCCCTTTTGACCTCCTGGAGTTATAGTTTGGATAAACCTTTGCACTATTGCCTTAAGATAATCGCTACACCTTATACCAAAAAGATCACCTAAAATGTTCTTAAAACCAAGCAATAGTTTAGTTTAATTAATGTAAGACAAAAACATCTGCCATGAACGTTCCTCTGGGATCACAACGGTCACGGCAACTCAGAAGATCAGGAGCGAACTTTGTGGGGCGGTAAGAACCAACGGCTGCCCGAGCTCGAGGAACAGCGTGGACATCACTGCGAGGCAGGCGCAGGTAGAAGCGGTGCTCTGGTGTCTGTTTGCTGTGTGCATTCTCAGCGACGACGACGACGAAGCAAGTTGACTTTCAAGAGAGAACAAAGGGGCCGAAGCCAAAAGAACGATGAAGGGGTGGAAGGAACACGCAGGGATGAGTCAGCAGAGGAGGAGGAAGGCTGCGAGTGGGTGTCAGGGCTGCAGAGCTGGGAAGCCAGGCTTCTCTGTTCCCTGTGTGCCTTTCCATCCAGTCTGTGCGTGGGACACTGGTTTGGGCCAGCGCCTCCGGTGAGGGTGAGCCTCACACCCCACGTGGGGTGACGGTCTCGGAATCATGCTGCGGTGTGGCTACCCACGGGGCCAGTGCTCAGGGAAAACGGAGTGTGCATTTTGCGCTATCATCGGGAGCCCTGGGGGCGGAGTGCGTGAAGCGGGGCTTCTAACTCAAGGCCAGTCGTTTGACACCATCAGCTACTTTGCTCTTGTACACATGGACGGCCTGGGACCCCCACAGGAGCAGTTTACTTTCTCCTACAGGCTCGCCAGGGCTCAGAACCGACCCCATGCAGTGAGTTTGTGTCACAATCAAGAGACGTTCACCAACAGAAAGGTACTACCTGCAGTTGCAGAGGCGACAAGCCTGAAACCAGGGCCCTGACTTTCACTGGGTGCTCCCGGACAAAGTCTTTGTTTCTCCAGCTTCTGTTCTTGGGGCTCTTCAAGAGGTCTGTCATGTACCTTCCCCATCTCTGCACCCTTGCTTAATCAGCTCCCTGAACATCTCAAAAGAGGTAGATGCAAGGCATACCTTGCACGAATACTGTCTCAACATAATAAAGGGGACCCATTCCCAAATGGGATTGAAAGAACAGTGGGCATGGGGTCAGGATTTACAATGCATATTTGGGCGGGGTTTACAATTCGATCCATCACGCGGAGGGCAGTCTTTGCCCTGGAGCACAGGGCCCATGGGTGTGGTCTTTTTCTTCAGGCTGGGCTGGCCGATCTAGAGGGAAGGGGCAGGGTGCTGGAAGAGCGTGCTAGGCAACAATCAGCTCTCATCACATATTTGCTGGTGGCAAAAATATGTCCCTGGAAATGCCACCTCTGTGCCAGTGAATGTCTGCGGCAAGCATTCAAGAGCGCAGCCCGAAAGGACAGGGGGAAGCAAAGGCCCGAATGCAGGGGTAGCACTACCCACTTCCCTTGCAGAGCCAGGAGCTTCAGAAAGGCTAGTGCTCCTCCCACCACGTGGAGCAGCGGGAGGGATATACGGTTCTCCCCAGAGGCTGGAGGTCAGGCTCCCAACAATGATTGGTGGCCAGGAGGGGAGATGGTTTCCCTGTGGGGCCCCTTAATCCTAAGAGTTTTTCTAATGCCAGTACATTCTGCTTACTTCCACGGAATGGCATATTTTGGGCTATCCCTGAAATAGTCCAACTGGCTTGAGTCCATGCTAGCTAGGCCCCAACCCTGCATCAGGTCTCCTGGTAAATCGAAAGTCCCCCTGGGTCCATGGGGCACTCAGCCAGTCCTCAGAAGAAGGGTGCTCAGGAGGCCTCTGCTACATCTCTGCCCCTTCCCCCATTTTGCCAGACATCTGTCCACACTGATGTGATAGCTGCTGTTTACTCACAACCTGGACGTCGAGAAAGCTAGGGAGCCACCCATCACCCCAACTTTTCTTGGGCTCCTCAGGGGAGAGGAGCTCTCAGAGGGGGCAATTATCAGACCCCGGAGGGGCAGGAGGAACTCCGTATGTCTAAAAAATATACATACATACAGAAGCACACATATCTATGTATACATACATTTTAAAGGTTTCTGTCTCAAAGAAGTGGAAGGTTGGCACTACGCGATCCCCTGCACACTCAGCAGGTGGGCTCTAATGGAAGCGGTGGGAGACGCCGCAGGTCGGTGGGGCTGTTGTATTTGTTTCCTGGAGCTGCTGTAGCAAATTGCCATATGCCCAGTGGTTTAAAACAACAGAAATGTATTCCTTCACAGTCTGGAGGCTCGGCGTCCACAATCAGTGTGTCGTCCTCTCTGGGGGTTCTGAGGAGAATCCACCCCGATTTCTAACGGTGGCCAGCAATCCTTGGCCTATAAATGCGCCACTCTAATCATCTCTCTGTTCTCGTTGCCACAGGGTGTACTCAGATGGTGTCTGCATCCAAATTTTCCTCTTCTGATAAGGATGCCATTCATTAAATGCAGGTCCACTTCCTTCCAGGGGGCCTCATCTTAGCTTGATTCCCTCTGCAAAGACCCCATTTTCAAATGTAGTCCCAGTCCCAGGCACAGAGAGTTAGGACTTGCTGCTCACTGAGCATTTTTCGTATGAGCCCCAAAGTGGGCGTGCCAAAGCCTCCCAGTGAGCTGTGACTTTGCACTCAGTCCCGGAGCACCGCCCAGCCTCAAGGACGACAGGGGCCAGGAGCCGCTCTCACACGCAACCCACACGACTGGCGTGAGCACGGTGGACCAGACACAAACAAGCACAGCCGGGCAGTGCCAGGTGGGTGATGTTCAAGAAAGAAGAGGCTCTGTGTGGTGCCAGGGGCTTGGGGTGCAGTCCACTCTCCGTGCTGGTCAATGGAGGACCCCCATGCAGATCATGACAGGGAACACAAGCCGGAGGCATTGCTATGACCCTGGTCAGAACCCACCACCCTGCCCCTACACACAGATTGTGCTTACTCTTGCTATGTGCAATTCCCTAAATACTCACAACAATCCAATAAGAGGTCCATCAGGTCACAGATGCCACACCATCTTCCAGCTCTAACTGCTCCCCCAGTCAGGCTGTCAGATCCCACCCAAAGGCACCTCTCCAGAGCGCTTGCACGCCACAGCTGAATCAGGGAGGGTGCACCCTCTATCCACCAGATGCCTCCCACTTCTGCTCAGGTCCCCAGGGGATGGTAGGCATGGCTCTTGCCAAACCAGTAGGGGGTAGCTTCAGACACAGGTGGAGGGGTGCCCAATCAGAGTGGTAGGGGCTGGGGGTTAGTATAGAGGGGTGGGTTAGAGGGCAGGAAAGCAGAATCACGGCCTCCACTTTACAGTGCTGGGGGAAATGGGCAGGAGAGGTGGTAAAGTGGGTGTTTCGGGTCAGGGCAGGGTGGTGGCGCTGACTTGGGTCATAGCGGTGCATCTGGCTTGTCTCCTTGGCATAATCTGCACACAGTCAGTACAGAGAGCACAAGTTGTGCCCAGCAAAGGGTTGGGGCTACCATGTAGCGTGGACCACAATCATGGCCCAGTGAGGACATGTCCTTTCCAGGTCTGACCCGAGCAAGCTCCCTGTGGCCACAGTGTGCCTGTAGAGAGCCGTTCCTGTCCCACGGGCTCAGGCTACACCGCTTCCACTGTTTGTGAGAAAAAAGACACCACTCCTTTTCCCCACATTGGGTCCTGGAGTCCTGAGGAGTAAGAGAGTGAGCTGGCCAAGTTCCAGGAGGTCTGCACGAGTGTGCGTGCGTGTGCGTGCATGTGCGTGCACGTGAACTCAAGGGCATGCCTGCGCAGGCTCGTGCATGTGGTGGGAAGAGAAAGCTGCGGGCTGGGCAGAAGAACAAAGGGAAGGGATATTCCCTGAGGGAAGTATGGAAGGAAGGGGCTCTGCTGCCATCCACACGGCTCCCAGTACTCACAGCGGTCAGCCAACAACAGCCATTTACTCAGCACTTACTCTGCACAGCCAACTGCTCCCGGTACGTTCAGGGAACTTAGAGGAGGGGCCGAAAACAGAAACGCTGGTAAACAAGTGCTGTCAGACCACAACGCGGATGGTGGAGAGCAGGGGGTGCAGGCAGACGGTTGGCGTGGACTTGAATCGCTCTTCCTTCGGCTTGGCCTTTCTCCTTTTCAGCCTCGGGCATACCACTACTTCATCTCACTGCCCCGGCCTGTCACTCTCCTTGGTCCTTGCTGGAGCAGACTTGCCGCCCTGCCTCCCCTGGCTCCTGTCTGACCTGGAGCACAGCCCTCATCAGCTAGGGTGAGGAGTTGGCTGATGTGCTTTCTCCATCTAAACCCCAGATCTGACAAGCCACCAGTGGGTTGCCACCACCTCCAGGGGAACACACTGACTCTTAGCACTCACGGTCCACACGCCTTAGCTCTGGCTTCACCTCGGGCTCCCCCCACTGCCTCCCCCAGCTTGCCCCAAGGCAGCCTGCATTACGTTTCTGTTTCCCAAGCGATGACTTAAAAGTACGTTTCCAGGATCTCTGATGCTCTTCACTTCAAGAGGTTTAATTCCTCTCCCCTTGAGACGGGGCTGTGACCCCTCTAACAAATACAATGGGACGGAATGATGCTGTGTGACTGCCGAGACCGGCCACACAAGGTAGCACAGCCTCTTCCTAACCCTCTTGGACGGCTCACTCCAGGGAAGGCCAGCTGCCAGGTCCTGAGGACACTCAAGAGGTCTACATGGTGAGGCACTTAGGCGCTCTGCCAGCCTTCAGCAAGTACCTGAGGCCTCTTGCCAACATCCATTTGGGTGCCGGGCCTCAGCTGCAGCTCCTCCAGCCTGAGCTGAGCCTTTGGATGAGGGCAGCCCTGGTGGAAGTCTGACTGCACAAGAGACCCTAGGCCAGAACCACCCAGCTAACCCAGCCCTGAACTCCTGGTTCCCAGAAACTATGAGACAGCACATAGGTGGTGCCTTTAGCTGCTCCATGATGAGGCAATCTTTCACAGAGCAATTAGCAATGAACAACCTGAGGCAGGTTGAAAGATTGGAAGTTTCTGGGTTTAAATATTTGCTGAAAAATATTTTTCTGCCCTCGTCCCAGAAATGCTGGCTCACCAACCAGTCGGCAGGGCTGCTCTCTCTCATGCTGTGTGTTTTGTACCTGCTCTCTTCTCTACCTGGACAAGGGAGCAGCCAGCGCTCACGTGCTGACCTTCCATCAAGCTCCTCCTCATTCTTTTTTTTTTTTTTAATCGTTTTATTAGGGGCTCATACAACACTTATCACAATCCATACATACATCAATTGTGTGAAGCACATTTGTCTCCTCCTCATTCTTCTGGGTCCAACAGGAGTGACACTTTCCTTATCATCGTCCTTACTCCCACTTAACCTGCCTTATTACTCCCACCTTACTACTCCGTAGTACTCCTGACTCCTACTGTACTACTCTGCCTTATTACTCCTGTCTTACTACTCCTGGCTTATTACTCCCACCATACGACTCTGCCTTACTACTCCCACCTTACTATTCTGCCTTACTACTGAATTACTACCCCCACCTTACTACATTGCCTTACTACTCCTGACTCCTGACTCCCACTGTACTGCTCTGCCTTATTCCCCCTGCCTTACTACTCCTGACTCATGATGCTCACCATACTACTCTGTCTTATTACTCCAGCCTTACTACTCCTGAGTTGCTATTCCTACCTTACTACTCCCACTTTACTCTGACTGGTCCTTGCCCTGTGACCTCACTAGCCCTGCACACAGCTCCAACCTGGCCACACTGGTAGCAGCGGAAGGCAAGGCTCTTAGAAAGCCTTAGTGAAGAGTCCTGTCGACTGGCTGGTGAGTCACAGCTTACGATTCCAGTGAGGTAAATGTAAAAATTAAACATTTCCCAGCAAATATTTAAACACAGAAACTCTCCACTCTTTGGTGGGGATTATGGGAAAGCATGAGGACTTGTTAAGAGGCCTAATTTTCCTCGGTCTCAACACCAAGAAAAGGAGCCACCCTACCTGGATCAGAGCAAGCACTTTGTCCTGTACAATGGTGGGAGGGTTGTTCTTGGGAGAGATGATTTTGACCAGAACACTGTCGATGAAATCACGGTTTGCCACAAGGATGTGGAAGCGGTGGCCACAGTTCTTCACACAGGTTTCCAGCACCTGGCATGGGAAGGAAACACAACAGGGTCAGTAGGTGGGGCCAGAGGAGACATGGAGGCGGGTGGCGGGTCTCCACCACCCATTTGTCTCCCCCAGAATCACATCTCAAAGACACTTCCACACCCCACTTGGCTCTGCCTCCCGTGATGACAGCAGTCTCTTACCAACCGAGGCCGCCCATCTCTCCACAGTAAGTAGGCAGTCAGGGGTTACGGAGATGCTAGTTATACATGAGAAGGATGCTGTTTTAATGCACTCAAAATGACTAAGCCAGTCCCTGAAAATTCACGTTAACTCCTTCCTTGGGTCTGTGGGTGTGAGGCATCAGCCAATAACACACAGGCTCTGTCACCAGAGGCTCCTGTGACAGCTTGGATTATTTGGTGTCAATTATAATGGCCCTTGTATGAAAGACAACACACACACACACACACACACACACACACACACAGAACACATACCCCGCACAACCTCCTTCTGTAACCAAAGTGACAAGCGCAAAATATTTCCCACTTTGGAGAAGGTCTGTTTCTCAGCAGTCAGGTAGCTTTAAGATGGGTGTTTAATTTGAAGCCTGCCTGCTCCTCCCTGGCGCTGTGGGTTACATGTGGGACTGCTGACCACGAGGTCAGCAATTCGAACCCACCAGGTGCTCTGAGCGAGAAAGATGAGGCTTTCTACTCCTGTAAAGAATTACCGCCTCGGAGGGCCACGGACAGTTCTCGTCTGTCCTACAGGTGTGTCAGTGTCAGAGCTACTGGATGGCAGTGAAAGGTGCTCCTCCCTAGTGAGAAAACCATTACTGTTCAGCTGATTCCAACTCATCGCGACCCTACGGGACAGACTAGAACTGCCCCAGTTTCCAAGACTAGATATTTTTACAGGAGCAGACTGCCACATTTTTGTCCTCTCGAGTGGCCGGTGGGTTCAAACGGCTGACCTTCTGGTTAGCAGCAAGATGCTTGACCATGGTGCCACTGGACTGTTCACCCAGGCCTTAGCCCCTCAGGAAAGAGTGGAACATATGGTGGGTGCTGGCCAGCCAGCAGGTGTGAGTGTGAGCCTCGGCTCTGAGACGTTCTCCCTCTGGCCTGGGTACAGTCTCTCTCAGGCTCCGGTTCCGCATCTCATCTGTAAAACAGACCTGTACAAAACGGCTCCTCTCTTACAAGGCTTCTGGGAGAATGGGGAAGAAGGTGTAAGGCACCTAGCAGAGGAGCCTGCACGTGGGGCTCGGATGCGTGCTGTTGCTATGCAGAGGGCTGCGGCTACACTCAAGCACCAAACTCCAAAACAGCAAACTCATGTTATCGAGTTGATTCTGACCCTACAGGACAGGGGACAATGGCCCCTGTGGGTTTCTGAAACTGTAACTGTTTATGGGAGTAGAAAGCCTCATCTTTCTCCCAGGAAGCAGCTGGTGGTTTTGAACTGCTAACCTTGTGGTGAGCAGCCCAACTTGTAACCACTGTGCCACCAGGACTTCTGTCATCCATGTATGGGGGCAGCTTATTTTGTCCACAGGTGAGCTGTCATCTGTAAATCAGAGGTATCAGCTGGAAGGGTTTCTCCAGTTGCAAACATAACTCTCTGCTGCAAACCAGCCCATCCATGTACCCAGCCCTTCCCACCTTGCCCACCAGGTCCACAGTCGGCTAGTGGGGAACAGCTCCCTTAGAAAGACAGCAGTGGCAGCAGCCAGGAACATTTCTGACTGCTCAGGTATTCTCACTTGCCCCTCTCAGGACTGAACTCTGAGACCTCGCCGGAGGCCTGGCTGAATTGGCCGTAATGTGTGAGATCGCGAGGTGTCGAAGGGATGAGGTAT